CTGGAAATCATACAATTCATTCCATTCCACTTCAATGGTAATTACTACCTGACTCCAGCTTGCCAGCCCTGATGCCTAGATATTGCCCGTCAACGGCGGCCAGGGCTTCACCTCATAAATAACGTGTGCATGCTCATTAATTAACTTTGAAAACGTTTTTTCCTCAGGCCTCAAGAGAACCAAACTCCAGGGTAGGAGGGCATACTTAAGGGGCAGTTAGGATGGAAGATGTCCTGGGGTGTGACGGTTCTAGAGTCGAGGATGCTGGGATTATATCCCAGTGTCCGTGTCATAGATCCCAGCTGTGTGACCACGGACAAGGCCCTTCACCTCTCTGAGCCTCAGTTTCTTCATGGTAGAATGAGGCTGAGTGTCCCTGCCTCTCAAGGTTGGTGTGGGGTGTGGGGGTTTACAGAGCTAATCCGCGTGAAACGCTTAGCCTAGTGCTCTACACACCCTAAGCACCCACTCGCGGGAATTAAGACCGTGATTCAGAAAACACTTCAAGGAATAAAGAAAACTTCCCACATGGCTTCCCTTGAGTCTGGCAAAAGGGCACATGCCTACTTTGCTCCTCCCTGCATGGCTAATGCTCAGAGACAAAATGTTCTCCTGAACATCATACCGTCATCACCAGCTTCTTTTCTGTGATGTTTCCTGAACAAAGAAAATGGAAAAGTGGGTCTCTCATCAGGAGTCTGCTCCAATGACGCTAACAGAAAAATGCAGGCTTGGGAGCAGTGAGGAAGAGAAGAGGCAAACTCTCGAAATGACTGTTAAAACTCTCTAGCAGCCCAAACCCAAGGATAGCTTCCATATACCTGTCCCCAGTGACCATCCCGCCTATAAAATGGGGCTAAGGATACTGCCAGGATTTAAAGGGACTAAGTGAATTAAAAATCAAGTGCTGGATTGCTGAGTTGTATATCAATGCGGAATAAATGGAAAGAATAGATTCTAAGGAGACCAACTAAAACACTGATGCAAGCCAGTGGCAACCTGCCTGGAGAATTCCTGGAGACTCCAGAATGTCCAGATGCAAAGAGCAGGGAATAATAAGAGCTGAGCAGTCAGGAGCCAGAAGCCTGCATGTTTCAATGAAGCCTTGTCACTGTCAAAAGCCAGAAGACACAAGAATCCCCCGAAGCGCTCAGAAAATGCAGGCCCCTTGGCCTTCCCTCCAGCGATTCTGATACAGGAGTTCTGATGTGGGGCCCGGGAGTCTGAATTCTAAGAAGCAACTAGGCATTGCTATGCAGATGGCCCAGCCTACAGTTTCACAAACACCACCAGCCTTTTCCACAGTGGCCTATTCAGTTGCTTTCTTTGTATGTAACGAACACTTTTCCTTAGGCAAGAGATTAAAAGGGAAGAAACAGAACTTTAATCCTTAAGCTTGGTAAACTTTCAAGGTAATTAAAAGAGATTGGTTGCTTGCTGGAAAACAAAGTATTCATACTCCCATACACCACGGATTGGGTCAAACATAAATCATATTCAGATGATTTAACGTTTCTCTGAGATGGAAGAAATTCAATGACTGAGTGAAAGGCATCAGGCACACTCTCTATCACCTGGAGTTAGCAGCCACGATCATATTCCAGCCACCCATTTTGAAAGGGAAGCTTGTACCAAGAGCACAATAGGACAGCTATATTCAGGAACGCATTCCAGAAAGGGTTAAACAAATCACATCTGAAAGATAGCTATTACCACTCCACATAAACCCAGAAAGGGGTTGGGGTCCAAGGTGATCTAATGTTTTCATAAATAACTCAAAAGATGGAGTGGGAATTATGCAAATCACACCATAGATGATACAAAAATGGCAGGGATGGCAAATCTGTGGAGAATGAAATTTAACTACTGGGCAATGTCTTTAAATTTGTCTTTATTGAATCTTGTATATTGAAGTCACATATTATTGGATCTGTTTATTGAGACTCGATGGGACCAAATGCAGGGTGATTTATGGAAGAAGGAATAATCAAATGCATAAGTGGAAAAGAGCATGCACCTAGAGAGGCATTGGCACCGGGGCTAGGAGGGGCTCCGACTGGGAAGTTGTTGAGAGGGTGGACAGGGTGAGGGGTGGCCAGAGACTTCTGTCCTCTACAGACACTGGGCCATGCTAACAGCTGCTGCATAATGTAAATAAGGAAATATGTCTACTGCTCTGTGAGCCACCTGGACTTGATGCTACTTCCAATAGGAGTGCCATGCTGAAGTGTAGACCTGGAGGGGAATTCCGAGCAGGGTGCCACAGCGACAATGGGGTGGGGCCCCAGGTCAACCAAGAACACATGTTTAGAAGGCTTCCCAAATGGACAAAGGCCTAATGTGCCTATTAGTTGGGAAAAGATGCACAAACGACAAGGAGACCTGTAGGAGAGAACATCTTCAGCTCCTGTTAAGGAAAAACACTCATTCAAAGCACAGCTGGCATCATGGAAGAAAGGGCAGCTTATGGTAACACCATCCCTGGGGACGCTCGAGGAGGCGGCCAGACACCTCTCTACTTAGGATGCATTAGAGATTATTAAAAGCACTCCTTGCCCAGTTTGGGGGTGGGGGGGTGGGCCTCGTGACCTCTCCAAAGGTCATTTCTATCCCAAAGGATCACATGTCTGAAGGGCACCAGATAAAAATAAAGTCTATTAATCATTGAGCTGCCACACAATTTCCTAAGAGAGCCAGAACAGAGAAGGGCAATCGACGGTGGCCCCTGCTCCACCAAGGGAGGGAGAGGGAGGCAGCACACACATGTGGGCAGAGCCAAGAAAGCAGTCACTGAGACTTCCAGAAAGCCTTCCCCACTGTCAGGCCTCCCAGGCACTACAGGGCACACAGGAGGCTGGAGAGAGCCTGCGGGGCGGGCATCGGGAGAGAGCCCCAAAACAAAGCCACAGGGGCTCAGGAGAGAGCACTTGATGCAAGCACTTTGTGCACAAAGAGGGGTGTCCGGTAGGACCCCCACAAAGGCACTGCATGGCGATGATCCACAAGGAGGCAGAAGTCAGAGGCAAAGGTGAGAGAAGAGGAACTGGGAGGAGTGAATTCGAAGAAAAGGGCACAGAGGTGTGCGTGTCTGGGAATCCATGGGATTACGACTGGCTGGGAATCCAGTGAAAGCTGTAGAGAGAGAACAGAAAGAAATCCCACCATCTATGGCAGCAGACAATCACATAAGAAAATACAGCTTTTTAAAAGAGGAACGAAGGGCTGGGCATGGTGGCCCACCTCTGTAACCCCAGCACTTTGGGAGGCCAAGGCAGGAAGATCACTTGAAACAGAGTTCAAGACCAGCCTGGGCAAGACCCCATCTCCATAGAAAATTTTAAAAACATAGCCATGCATAGTGGCACAGGTCTGTAGTCCCAGCTACTGGGTATGTTGAAGCAAGGGGACTGCTTGAGCCAGGAGGTCAAGGCTGTAGTGAGTTATAAACCTATGATTGCACCATTGTACTCCAGCCTGGGTGACAAAGTGAGAGCCTCTCTTAAAAAAGTTAAATAAATAAAAATAATAGAGTAGCAATGCCCCAGTTCCAAAGCAGCTGTTGGCATTCTTGATAGAGGGGCTGGCCCAGGCAAACACAGCTGGAAAGGCCAAGGGAGTCTGAGGGCCCTTCCCAGCCCATGGCCTAGAGCCAGCCTCTCAAGGGTCAGCATGCTTGGGCCTCTACATATCAGACCAAAAGAAAATGCAATGTAGGAAGCAAGAACCAGGCCAAAGCATCAGACCCCATGCCCTGCTCCCTCCACATCCTGGACTGACATTGCTTTGGGGTGGAGACGTTACCTGCAGTAGTCTCGGGAATGGCATCTGCACGGACTATCATGCAGCCAAATGGGGGTCATGGAGTTTGAGTTCTTCTAGCAAAATGTTCTCCAAACAGCTGTCACCCCATCGGACAAAGAACAACTTTTTGAAATCAAAAGAGGCCAGTGAAGGTGGAGAAAATCAGTACGACCCCTAGCGTGCCCACTGGGCAACCCTCTCCCCTAGTTCTCTCCCTGCCTTCACGGAGACTGCAGACCTGGTGAGATGGGTGGGATGCCCAGAAGGAGCCCCGTGCCAGGGTCTGGCCTTGACTGCTTCACTACCATCCTCGCTGTAGCCCCTCCCCTCCTATGGTGAAGCTCTGCACCCTCCAGAGAAGACGGCAAGTGAAGATCCTCAGGAGTATGGTGGTGAGACCTGGCCTCCCATAGAATGAGCAAACGGTACCCAGTACAGTGAGAAGGTGACTAGGGCATGGGTTTTCAATCTGCCACCCAGTGCTCTGCCATCTGGAGCTGACCACTTCCCTCCTCAAGCTGCAGGTTTCCCAAGGTCCACCCACTGCCCTGGCTCCCTAAGACCTCCCGTGGGCTCCCTAGCTCTGTCTGCAGACCCTAAACCCAGGAGCAAGCCAGGCAGTCACTTGTCCAAAAGATGTTTCTGAAGCAAGCAAGAAAGGCTGGAGATGGATCGAGGGCCATTTGTTAAAGTAAGTCATTGTCATAGAAAGATTCATAACTTGCCCTACCTAGGACAGGAGAGAAAGAAGGAAAGGAAATTAAAGGGAAACAAATGAAAAGCCACGAGAACCAAGTAACTCTGTCGGAGAGTTTTGAGTTATGCTTTTGTTTGTAACTTTCTGAAATACAGAAAGAAATAGAGGATGAATCTTAAAGGAGACAGAGAGAGCGTGAGAGAGAGAGAGCCAGAGGTGGCCACGCGGGAGGCACGGCAGGAGGCACGGCAGGAGGCGGGGGCCGCAGAACTGAGGGCAGGGCCACCTGGCTGGCTTCCCCTCTGCAGAAACACCCAGGGCAGCAGTGGTCCAAGGAAGTGGTGACTGCGGTGGAGGAAGCAGGCAGGTAAGCTGGGGTGCGGATGGAGAGGAAGAGGCAAGCGTGCACTGAGGCTGGCAGGCTGGCAGCCCAGGAAGCACAGGGAAGGGGGGCCAGGGGGTAGGGTCAGAGGAAGGAAGGTGGGACCGGCCCCGTACTTACTGTCACAGACGTAAGGTTTGTCGTGGTCTTCCTGAGAGGCGGCATCGTGCCTCCTCCTGCCCCCCGCAGAGCCACGAGCCTGGAGAGACATTGGGGTACAGATGTTTGTTACCATGGTCACCACTACGGCTCCGGAACACGCGCTCTGCAAGGCCCAGCACCCCACCTGCAGCTCCTTACACCATCTTCATCCGAACTTTTGTGCTAACACCAACAGTCCTATCTTACAGGCGAGGAAACAGGCCCAGAGAGGTCAGGGAACTCGCCCCAAATCATTCATCTATGTCATCTCACTAAATATTCACACCTCCAAGAAGTGGTTTCTACTCGGGTCCCCATTTTACAGATCAAAGGACTGAAGTGATAGAGAGGTTAAGTAGCTTGCCCAAGTCATTCGGCTACTCAGGGCAGCCACACTGAAAAGCCCCCCTCTACCGAATTCCCACACACTACTGTGCCACTAAGGGCCCTTCCTCCAGCTCCTCAGCCTTCTAGCCTCACTGACACGCTGAGGATGACAACCCCAGGTCCCTCAGCTGAGCAGCTGATGCATGTATCAGGAGCAAGTCCTGATGAGGGCAAGGAGGCGTAATCGCAGTTGTCTTCCTAGGTTCCTGTGCCCACACGTCCCACCCCTCCGGTGTCCCAAGAGCCAGACAGTCCTGGTATCCAGGCCCAAGGCATGAGTGTAGCCACAGGGCAGCTCTCGCCACCACCCCAGACCTGGCCTAGTTGGTAGGGGTGGGCTTTGGCTACGGCCTCCCTGTGTGGTCTGCCTTTTGGGCCTCCAGCCAGTAACAGAGACCTTGACCCTCATGGTCTCCTGGGCTGGACTCCTGATATACCACCCTGTGTGCATCTCCCAGACAGGGTCAGCATGACCTGGGGTGGGGGTGGAATGAGCTCTACCTTCAAGAATCAAAGAGCCCAGGCAGAGAGGTTGCTGGCAGCTCTGCAGCCCCAGGGCAGTGGTGACAAGAACACGGTGAGGTTTATTTTTAAACCTTTGTAAGTCTGACACAGGTCACGTGTGTAGCAACCTCGCCTCTCCAGGTCATTTCTTTGGTAATAAGTAGCAGTCAACTCCCAACCGAGGAAAGGGCCTGCTGGGATCTTTGGGGACAGAGAGGAAGGGGCAGCAGATGAGGAATAAGATCTGGCAGCAGCCTGGGATGTAGGAGAAATGGGGCAGCCCCTGGGGCCTGGCTGGGAAAAGTGGCCATGGGGACTTAATGGTGGAAAGTCTCTGGGATGCTCTCTCTCTCTCTCTCTCTCTCTCTCTCTCTCTCTCTCTCTCACACACACACACACACACACACACACTCTCTCTCTCTCTCTCTCTCTCTCTCACACACACACACACACACACTCTCTCTCTCTCTCTCTCTCTCACTCAGATACACATTCTCACACACCCACACTCACATACACATTCACACACACACTCACACATACACATACTCACATTCACACACTCATACACTTTCACCCTCACACATACACATCACACACTACACACTCACACTCATACATATTCACACTTTCACTCCTTGCATGCACACTCACACACACTCCACACACACATTCACACCCTTACATACACATTCACACACACATTCACACACATGCACTCACATACACATTCACACTCACACATTCACACACACATTCACACTCATATACACACATGCACACACTCCATGCACACACATTCCATGCACACACTCACTGGGGACGTCACAGTGGAAAGGCCTGTCCCCTAGGCCTGCAACACTCACACACTCACAAAACACACCCACTTCCCAATCAACACCACCTGCCAAGCTACCACCTCTGCCACCTCCTCAGCTTGTCTCTCTCCAAAACGAATTCCACTTCCTCCCTCCCTCCCACCAGTCTCCCTCCCCATGCCACCCCTGCAGCACTGACAGCCAGCAGCCCTCCTCCCCTTGCCCTCATTACTTGGAGTTGACCCCAAGAGGGATCTGTAGGCGCTGGCAGTCACCCCGGGCACTGACAGGCCTTCCGCCTGCCCGCACTGCCGAGGTGGTCACCCTCAGCTGCCCTCCCCCTCCACACCCCTCTGTGAAGCCAGGGACAGCTTGACATGCAGCCCACAGCCCTGTCACAGCTGCCTCTGAGCAGGTGAAAGCAAGTCAAGCAGAATGACGAGGCAACAGCAGACTGGGGAAGGGGCTCTGGGAGACTAAAAATACCTCCAGGGAGAAGGGGAGGAGCTGAGCAGAACTCAAAGCATGAGGGCTTCTGGGGGAGCTGCCAGCAGGAAAGGGAGGGCATGGTGGGAGCCAGGCTTTCATCTCTCGCAGCAGGGCTGACCACAGGGTGACTCTGTGTGCCACACTCCCTGTGCCTTAGTTTCCTCAATTGCAAAATGGGGACTGTGGCTATAGGGCACTGCAGGGGACATATAAGGGAGTCCTCCTGAGGCAGTAGCACTCTTAGAGTCTCCTGGAAGATCTCAGGTTTGGAAACTCAGAATCCTACTTGTCCTGCTCAAATGTCACCTCCTCAGAGAAGCCCTCCCTGACCAACTTACATCCACTCACGCCCTCTCCATCATTTTCTTTCCCCTCCCATCTCATGGCACTGAGCACTGTCCGGCATTAGATTATACCTGTGTTGGTTTACGAGTTGATTTTGTCTCCCCCACATGGGGGTGGAGACCATGTTTATTTGGGCCACAACTGTTCTCAGAACCTGGCATAGGACCAGTCACACAAGAAGCACTTAATAAACATTTGCCAAATAAATGAATCAATCAGGCAGGCAGCGAGTCAGTCATCTCTGGTTCTTCTCCTTCATGCTCTATATCCAAATGCTATTGTTTCTTCCTTCAAAGGCCATCTAGGTTTTGCAATTCCCTTCTATTGCACATCCAGGAGCTCAGTGACTGACCGCTGAACTGCTCAAATAACTCACTAATGGGGATCTACCACCACATTGCCCCCAGCCCATCCCACGGGACTTTCAGACCATTAGACAAAGGGATGAAAGGCAGGAGCCCATGGTCACTGGTTCATGCATTCACACATTCATTCATTCACTGCCATCTAAACCCACTTATGCAGCCAATGGCAACCTAGCACTGACCCCTCGGGTTCACCCCACATTCATGCTCTCCTCCACCCATGCACATCTGATCCAGGCTTTGCCCTTGCTAACCTCCACTTCTCCAAGAATCTTCCTCTTGCCACACTAAGGAGTGAAAGAGCATCCACTTAAAGTCAAGATAGACACAGATGGCAACACCAGCTACGTGTCTTGGACAAGTCGCTTCTCTAAGCTTTAGTTTTCTCAACTATAAAATGAGCACAGCAACACCTATATAGCAGAGCTGTTGGGAGTGTTCGAGCTGAGAGTGTGTGAAGCCGCAGGGGACAGCACTAAGTCCACAGGAAGCGCTCGATACGTTACTTCCCTCCTTGCCTAGGTTGATCTCTCTCCTCTGAACTCCTGTTGCCTTTGGTTAGTGAATAGTCAGATGCCTGCTGTTTCTAATGGTATCATGGGTATTAGCATCTTCTTCCCAGTTTGATTCTAAGGTCCTTGAGGGCAAAGATGGCATTCTATACTTTATTATGAACCCCTAACACTTAGCACATAGCATGCAAAGCTCTTTTACATATTAGCTCAGTTAATTCCTACAATACCCCTATGAGTTAGACCAAGTAGTGTTATGATTCCTATCTTGCCCTTGATAAAGCAGGTTCTGACCTGTCCACAGTCCCAGGGTCAGCAGGAGCAGGGCCTAGGTTTCCAGGCTCTGTTATAGAAAGATTTGAAGCCGACTAGCCAAAGGAAGCCAATCCTCCTTCCCCCAGAACTGCCCACCCTACTCCACTCCTCCCTACCCCTATCCCCACATTACTGGGCCATGGCAGCCATGAGTGTGCCAGATGGTCCTGCCCCACTGGCCATAGTTAATTGGCTGGCTCAGGAGTAGTCACCTGACCCAAGCTGGGCCAATCAGATCCTACCTCCAAGGGACTTGGAATTAGAAAACAGTGACCCTAGTTAGTATAGACCATGAGAACTGAGAACCCATAAATTCAGGAGCTTATGGGGCTGTATGCTCAGAGAAGCAGGAAGAATGAAGGAGGGAGAAGTAGAGGCCAGAAACAACCTGGGTTCCTCACTCTTTCCCCACTCTAAGTCCCTGTCACTTTCCTGATCTTCCTGTGGTTTGGATCTACAAAGGTTGCTCAAATCTGGGGCAATGGCCTGGCAGCTTTTTGAATCCTTCCCATTTTTATTGAAGCTGAAAGACCCTTGACTAGGACAGACTCGGTCCCAAGCAGAGAGCTAGATCTCAACAATGCCAGTTGTTCTCAAACAGTGGCCCAGGAATTCTGGGGGCCCCCTGAGTGTCCTTTCAGGAACTCTGCAACTGTCTACACTATCTTCATAAGAGTCCTAAAACATTATTTGTCTTCTTCACTCTCACGCTCTCACAGGCCTTCAGTGGAGTCTTCCAGAGGCAACATAGCATGTGATGATGCCGTCACTGTGTGTGTGTGTGTGTGTGTGTGTGTATTCTCTAGCTTAAAATTTGTTTTAATTGGCCAGGCATGGTGGCTCACACCTGTAATCCCAGCACTTTGGGAGGCCAAAGCGGGCAGGTCATGAGGTCAGGAGTTTGAGACCAGCCTGACCAACATGGTGAAACCCTCATCTCTACTAAAAATACAAAAATTAGCCAGGCGCGGTGGTACACATCTGCAATCCCAGCTACTCAGGAGGCTAAGGCAGGAGAAGCACTTGAACCTGGGAGGCAGACGTTGCAGTGAGCCGAGATCCAGCCTGGGCAACAGAGCAAGACTCTGTCTCAAAAAAAATATTTTTTATTTTTCTCTTAAATCTTTTTATTGGGCTGCCCCTTGAACCACAATAGGTTCAGCGAGACGCCCTTTTTAATTTCTAATATGGCAAAGATCACTAGTGATATGAATATTACTGGTTATAACCTGAACAACAGCCTTTGGGGGCTCTCGGTGTAAGGAATTCCTGAGATCAAAAAAACTGAGAACCACTGCTCTAAACCCTTGCTTTTTTTTTTTTTTTTTAAGATGGGGTCTCACTCTGTCACCCAGGCCGGAGTGCAGTGGCACAATCACAGCTCACTGAAGCCTTGGCCACTTAGGTTTAAGTGATCCTCCCACCTCAGCCTCCCAAGTAGCTGTAACCACAGGTGCACACCACTGTGCCTGGCTAATTTTTTTCGTTTTTTAAGAGATGAGTTCTCGCTATGTTGCCCCCAGGCTGGTCTCAAACTCCTGGGCTCAAACCATCCTTCCACCTCGGCTTCCCGAAGTGCTAGTATTATGGGTGTGAGCCACCACCCCCACCCTACACCCCTGCTATTTAAAGTGTGGTCCTGACTTTACATCAGCAGCTCCAGCATCACCTGGGAGCTTATTAACAAGGCAGGAGCACAGCCCCTACCCCCTGGACCTACTGCATCAGAATTTGTAAGTTACCAAGATCCTCACGTGCTCCATATGCACGTAAAATTTGAGAGGCACCCGAATACCATAGTGCATCAATAAATACTTCAGCATTGATTGATTAATTGATAACACTCACATGAATGACTCACAAGTAACTCATGGATTTTAAAGAGCTTTGACTTCTTGGGCTAAAGTTACCATAGACACAATTATCGTTGGGTTTGAATTTCCCTCACCGCTCAAGAGAATATGCAGTATTTAAGTTCCGAGAGTTATTCCCTTTGCTTTCACCCTCCTGATAATACCTAGCTGGTATGAAGCACTCAAAACTTTCTGATGAAGAAACTGAGGCCCAGGGTCCTTATACATTTGGCCATCATCAGGCCACAGAGGTTACATAATTCACCCAACGTGTAGTAAGTGGTAGAGCTGGAATTTGAACTCTCAAGGTCTAAGGTCAAATAAAGCAGAGCCTATGGCATAATCCTTACCTTAGCCTTGACCTCCTCAGTGAGCACACAAAGCACCTGGGGGCTTGTCAAAGTGCAGACTCTAAGTCGTCTAGTGTGAAGTCTGGCCTTCTGTATTCCTAACAAGCTCCCAGGTGATATTAATGCTACAGTCCAGGGACCACACACAGAGAAATCAAGACACAGACTGCCTCTAGGTTCTGACAGGAGTTCCCCAGTGCCAGCAGAAGCTGAAATATACCACTCTAAAGGGTGGGTAATGAGCTGGGCCTGGTGGCGCATGCCCGTAATCCCAGCACTTTGGGAGACCCAGGCAGGAGGATCACTTAAAGCGTGGTCCTGACCCAGCAGCTCCAGCATCATCTGGGTGCCTATTAACAAGGCAGGTGCTCAGCCCCCACCCCATGGACCTACTGCATCAAGGGGAAGCCCAATAAAAAAGATTTAAAAGAAAAATAAAACATTTTAAACTAGAGAATACAGACACACACAGTGACAGCATCATCACCTGTCATGTTGCCTCTGGAAAACTCCATTGGATGCCTGTGAGAGCATGAGAGTGCCTTGAGGCCATGAGTTCCAGAGCAGCTTGAGCAACAGAGACCCCCATCTCTAAATAATAATAATAATAAAAGGTGGGCCAGACAGCTGAACTGCGGCTGTGAGTGCAGCAGCTTCACACACCCCAGCACAAGAGGCTTGCCCACAGCCTTCTGGGTCCTTCCATGGCTCCCCACATAGGTGACATGTCCACAGTGTCACTATACAACATGGAGCCATTCAGATGCCTCTTGGCCAGTATTCGGTGGGCCCAGAGCCAGTGTAGGCTCCTTCTAGCCCTCTCACTGTGTTCAGGCTTCTCTCATCTCCCCTACACCTGAAATATGACTTTTCTCTTTTCCATCATTCAATTATTCATTCAACAAGCTGGTCATGGGCTACATGCTGGGCCCTGGGCCAGGCATGAACTCAGAGGAAAAAGCGCAGACTTGTGTTCAAATCTTAGCTCCTTCCTTACTAGGCTGAGTGACCTTGAACAAATTACTTAACCCCCCTGGGGACAATAATGCCAACTTGTGGAAATGAAAGCAGTTCTGACCGATAGAAATACAATGTGAGCCACACTCATTATTTTAAAATTTCCAATAGGACATTTAAAAGAAAAAAAGAGAGACAGGTTCCAATTAATTTTAATAATATATCTTATTTAGCAATATATCCAAAAATGATCATTTATCATTTAATCAATATAAAAATTAATACTGAGCTGTTCTGCATTCCTTTTTCATACTAAGTCTTCAAAATTTCATGTGTATTTTACATTTACAGCACATTTCCATTAGGACTAGCCACGTGTTGCAGGCTCAGTAGCCACATGTGGCCAGCAGCTGCCATAATGCACAGTGCGGAAACAGAGAAGGTAGTCTAAAGCAACTGGCACGAAGGCATCCCTCCACACGGTAGCCCTTGTTATACAGAGCCCATCACATTGCCTGGTTTACAGGAAGTGCACCGTAAGCATAAATGGTTGCAGTGGCTGCTAATGTTTTCACAAAGACACCCAATTTGTATTCACTGACTGCAAGCTCAATCTTGTAAATGTGGGTTGGGGGTGGAGAAGGTGAAAAGAGGACCATTTTCCACAGTCGAGTCAGTTTGGTTGGGGTGAGAGGAGAAAAGGAAGCAGGTCTGGAGGTACACAGCTCTTTGGAGTTCACAAAAGGCCCAGGAAGTCCAAGCCCAAAAGTGTCCTTTAAAAATGGAATTAGATTTTCTTTTGAATACCCTCCCCTCCATGAATGGGTCTAGACCAGTTTACCGATGGCTGCAAAAATCATTAAGTGAAATCTTGATGAGGAACTTTGTAAGGGAGAGATCAGGCTGACAACACTCAAGTCTACTGATCCATTATAATCCCACTCCAAGCAGAACTGGTCAAGATATGCCCCTGATGTATACAAGAAGAACCTATTACCACCTAAGAAAGATCCTTACCTACCCCCAAGAAATATTTGTACACACATACGCAAACACACACACACATCCTGAACCTAAGCAAGCTTCTAATCAAACTACCAGTTTTCAGGAAATGCAGAGGATGGAGAAAGACATTAAACACCACCCTCCCACCACTACTAGAATGTGAGAAATTCCACAAGACAAACAACCGAAATTCTTCAACAAATTAATGACATGGAGGAGAAAAAAAATGTGTGTGTCAGGGTGTAATACAGAAGAGGTAGGTCATGGAATCTGAGAGACTTAAGTTTCAAACAAACCAACTACAAAAAGGCATTTTTTTTTTTTTTTTACAAAGGGGGAAAGGATAAGGGACTAGATGGCAGGTATAACGATTCTTTTATTGGGTATGATAACAGTATCTGTTAGAGAGGCACACTGAGACATGTGCCAGTTACATAAGACATCTAGGACTTGTTTTCAAATATTCCAGAAAACAAATCACACAAACATAAATCAACAAAAAGTAAAAAGAAAAAAAGAAGAGATGAGCCAAGATAGTCAAGATCTTGCTAAGGGACGAGTCTGGTGCCAGCTGTGCCAGGGCTGCACCATCAGAGAGCTACCTACCCAGGCCCTGACCAGGCTGCACAGCCCCACACTGTGCCAGGCTGGAACGTCTCAGCTCACAGTGTGTGCAGCACTGGCTGACTTGCAGCTGCCACCTGGGAACTTGCTTCTAATACAGTATAAAGCCCTGCCCCAGAGCTCTTAAAGCAGAATTTCTGAGTGGGGTCCTGGGAATCTGCATTCAATAAGCTCTCTCAGGGATACTGATGTCTGCTGAAGCATGAGAATCATGAGAGTGGAGAGGCCTACTGTGATTATCATTGGTCGCAAACTCACAGAACACCCAGGACTAACTGCTTATCCATGGGAGGGGTAAGGGTCCTGCTTAGAGCCTGAAGGGGTGAGATCCTCAAGCCTGAGAGCTAATTCTCCAGGTAGACAGCAGCAGTTTACTTCTGGAGGTCCCCCTCCACCTCGTTATTGTCACATGCCCTTGCAGACCCCTGAAGGCAACCACAGAAAGCCTCTTCAGGCTTGAACTCTAGACTCAACCTAAAAATGCCTGGAAGCGCCTGACCGGTCTTTTATTTTTATTCCTTCTACCTCGGTTTTCCCTCTGCCCTTCCCCAGGCTCTGGCTTCTTCCTTGTCCCATACCAAGACCCCTGCAATGGTCTCAAGCCTCCAGAGCTCATGCCAAGTCAAAGCCACTGGAAGCCACCAGCTGCAGCCCCTGCTACCTCAGCAAACTTCTATTCTGCCTAGTGAAGCATACCTCAAAAGCATACTCTGTCATTCTGGGGCAGCACCAGGCTCAAAGCAGGAAACGTCCAGCCTTCTTTAGTAACCAGGTAGTGGTGACAACAGGCACATTCTCCTTGTCTTTCACCCTCACCTTGATCCCACCCTTCGGCCCTCCCCTGACCTCACCACCCACTCGGGGCAACCCCTCTGCCTCCTCTCCTCCTTCTTCCCAGCTCTAAACTCTTCCAGCCTATGACCTGGGATCAGAGCTGTTCTGGAGTTTTCTTCTTTGAGCATTCTCCAAGTAAGACCATGGCCATGATTTCCATCTAGCTGAGGTGGAGATCAACTGCTGGCCAGACACCCCAGCCTCCCAACCTTTTTCCTCACTCATGTCATCCCCAACTTACCCGTCCTCTAGTCCTGTTCTTTCGCTTGGGAATATCCTCTTCCAAATCCTCTTCTTCATTCCCTTCTTCTACATTTTCATCGTTTTCCAAAACCCTCTGAAGTGAAAAAAAAAAAATAGAAAAGGTGAGAAATGAAATGCAAAGGGGAAAACCATCAGAGGCTCATTTGAAGGGTGGTCTGCTTTGCTGTTATTTTTTAATGATGTGAAGACTCCACCATTGCTTGGGCAGTTGGGCCTCCAAAATGCTGCCCGGAATTTGAACGCTTGGCACTACCGAGGCTCTCCTAAGTCCTTTGGTCCCTTCCAGACAAGTGCTCCCAGGACACCGACCTTTTTCCATTCTTTTTGCCCATCAAGAGTTTCCTAACAAGAGACTATGCTGGTAGGGGCCCTTTTCTATGTGGGGCCAAAATGTTTTATCAAAACTTACTTTTTAAAATGTAATGTTTCTTTTTTGTTCCCAAAGAGCCACCTCAGAAATACAAAACTGTTTCTCCTTTCCCTGCCATTCTGGAACCCTGCACTGTCTGATGAAAACAAGTAACTTCCTGTTCATCTGAGCAGATTTTGCGTGAATCTTAAATTCACGTTCATCATAAGCCACTGCTTTTTTTTTTTTTTTAAGAAAAATAGACTTTCATTTAGCACCTGACTTGTCACGGAGCTTAAAGATCATGAATTTGAAATTATCTCTCTCCAACTGCCTGCCAGTCTCACTGCAACATAGAATCCAATTTCCATTTTGCAGGTGAATACACTGAGGCTGAAAACAGTATTAAGTGGTCCAGATCATCCAGTGCAGCCATGACCAAGGCAAGGTCAGGTTCACTGGCTCTGGGGTTCCCATTCATTTCTCAGCATGGTGACTGAGAATTCCAAGATGTAATCAGGCATACTCTCCATGGAGGGGCATCCTCTCCATGCACATCACTGCCTTTAGAGGACAGAGGAGGTAGGATGTTTTCCTGAGTTTAACGGAGGGATGAAAGACTGTGGCAAAGGACCCAGCCCCAGAGTGGGAATAGGAAAAGAGGGAAGGGGCATGGAGCTCACTGGGCTCCATGTGACTGGTTCTAATTCTGTTGCCTAGGCTGGAGTCCAGTGGCACAATCACAGCTCAATACAGCCTCAACCTCCCAGACCCAAGCAGTCCTCCCACCTTAGCCTCCCAAGCAACTGGGACCATAGCCACATGCCACCATGACTGGCTAATTCATTTTTTGTAGAGATGGGGTTCTCATTATGTTGCCCAGGCTGGTCTTGAACACCTGGGCTCAAGTGATCCTCCCACCTCAGCCTCTCAAAATACTAGGATTACAGGCATATCACACAGGTGAGCTACCACCCTGGCCACCTGGGGGGGTTTCTTTATAGACTCACTGTGTGACCTTGGGGCAAGTCATCATCTCTTCATTCCTCAGTTTCCTCAATTACAAAATATTCATTCAATCTACAAACATTTATCTAGTGCTGACTACATGGCAGGCTCTATGCTAGGCAAGCTTCAACATGGCTGCAGTCCCGGCCCCAGAAGGACTTTACAGTCTAGAGAAGGGAGGACAGATTTAAACAATGTGCATATGCAACCATATAATTACAGCTGTTCTCAAAACAGTGTAGGCAAGTTCAAAGTGCTATGAGAGGGTGTTAGGAGGGAGTTTTTCCTAATCCAAGGGCCAGGGAAGGCCTACATGAGGATGTGAGCTAGGGAATTTGAAATGTGAAAGATGAGCAAAGACTGGCCTTGTGAATGGAAATGCGGGACGGGGAGGGAAAAGGTTCTGGGCAGAGGAAACGGCATGAGCAAACTCCCCGAGGTAGGGAGAGGAACACGGCTCATCTGAGGAGCAGAAAGGCCAGTGTGGCCGGTACTGAGTGGCTCAAGGAGAGATGGCATAAGATGGAGCTAGTAAGGGGGACAGGTATCCTATCATACAAGATAACTCCATCTCCTCCTCCTTGCGGCGATGGGTCACAGACCACAAAAATGTTGAGAAGGCTGAGACAGCAGCATGCACTGCACCGTCATCTGATAACCATCGCTGTTTAAGCAGCGTCCTGGACAACACCTCTGGCCTGTCCTCAAAGCAGAAAGCTCAGGATTGAGCCACCAAGCAGTGATCTTCCACCACGGCCCCTTGGCTAGAATGTTCTGCTTCAAATCACACTTCTAGTCTCCCAGTCCATCCAAAAAACTCAAAACAGGTCTAGTAAATTCTTCTTTGACTTATCTACTAGGTTTATTTGGGAAGCCACCAGCTGACAGCAATTAATGGGTCTCTGGGCCAGCCTTAACCATCTAACAGAAAGAGCATTGTCTGCTGGACATGACCTCTGGCCCATAACTAGGAAATGTCAGGCCCCCATTTACAGTAAGTCTCTTGGGTTCCCGACCTGTAGGTGGGAACATTAGCAAAAGCCAACCAAGACCGTGACAGGCCAAATGCTCTGCAGCCTTAGGGGCAAAGACGTAGTATAAATATAAGGCCTGATTATGACTGAGGCTGCTGCTCATACAGTCATCTTGCAAACTTTCCAGGTCTTGAAGTCATTTAATCATGGTAAGTTCCAAGTGCCTCGAATTTAAAGGTCATTGCCTCTGGCATCTCGCTACAATTCTGACTCTTATTTTTCATGATAAGGGTATTTATTACCCGCAGTATGGACTCTGGGTTGGAAGGTGAAAGACTGGTAGAGGCAGCTGAGCTGGTCCCCAGAGTGCCACCTGGCCTCAATGTCTGGGAGTAAACTGACTTCTCTTCTCCCTGAGGCTCCACCCTCCCTCTGCCTATCAGCTGCCCTATGACTCCAAAGCTCTGTCTATGCCCCAGGCCTCAAATGTAATGGCAGCGGACCCAGTGAGTCTGCATTTCCTGCGACGTGGCCCTGACCCCAGACGCCTCTGGACATAACTCAGGAGGAGCCAGGAGTTTCTAATAAACAAAGTTCGTTTCAGGGCTCAGGAAGCAGAGGGGGAGTCCTGAATCAGGAGTGGGGAGTGGGGGTGGGGTGTCCAGCAAAGTCAGCTGATCCCTCAGTAACAGACATGCATTCCTTGTCCAAGGACAGTATCTGGAAAATAAACACATTTTAAAATAACTTTTCTCCCTGTTACTCTAAACAGTCTTTATGGTGATAACAGTGGTTTGTGGTTGTGTTTTAAAAAAAAAAAAAAAATCCTTTTTAAAGACTACATTATCTCTGGCCTGGAATACTGCAAAAATCTCCTGATTTCCCTCCTTCCATTGCTGGCCCTGTATCCAATCTCCTCTCCACGCAGCAGGCAACAGGATCTTTATGAAATATAAATTCACGGCCCTCATCAAAATCTTCCAAATGGCTTCCTTCTTTATTTCACATGGAACCAAAAGCTACCTCCGTGTCCTGTGGGAACTCGGTGGTCTGGTCTCAGCCCACCTGTTGAACTCCTGGTCTCCCTTCTCCCTGGCAGAGTACTCTGGCCACACAGGTCTTCTATTCTCTCCACACAACCAGCTCTGACCTGCCTAGGGGCCTTCACACCCACTACTCCTCTGCCCAGAAAGCTCTTCCCCAGGACCCTCCCTTTCCTGGCTCTTTTCATCCCATAGGGTTGAGGTTAAATCCTTCATCTCCCCCAGGACTCTACCTAGAATCTGTCCCTCCTCTGATGCTGAATCTTCATACTGTTTTTTCTTATGGGTTTTATCCTAAAATGCAATTATTTTATTTGTATTCCTTGTTTCTTGCCTGTATGTCACATTGGAATATGAGTGGAGAGGACAGGTCTCTCTTGGTCTCTGTATTCCTAGCACCCAGCAGGTCCCTAGCCTGCACAAAGGAAACCCTCATTAAACTTTGGTCGAATGAATGAATGAATGAATGAATGAATGCATAATTCATTTACTACACTTTTTTTTTTTTGAGACAGAGTCTCAATCTGTCACCCAAGCTGGAGTGCAGTGGTGCGATCTTGGCTCATGACGACCTCCGCCACCCGGGTTTAATTAATTCTCTACATCAGCCTCCCAAGTAGCTGGGATTACAGGCATGTGCCACCATATCCAGCTAATTTTTATATTTTTAGCAGAGACAGGGTTTCACCATCTTGGCCAGGCTGGTCTTAAACTCCTGACCTTGTGATCCACCCGCCTCTACCTCCTAAAATGCTGGGATTACTGAGCCACCACACCCAGCTACAGGTGTATTTTAATAATGTCACAGCAATAAAAAACATGTACACTCATTGGACTTATGGTCCTGGCTCTGTCTTCTAGCACAGTTGATAGCAGACCCATGCACTGCACTGAGCAGACACTTGGTTTACATCAGAGACAATGGTGATGTGATGATGACAATATGGACCCAGCGCAGTGCTGCATCAGAAGAACTCAAGCCCACCACCAGCTTTAAAGGGAAAGCGAACCATGTCCCCAGAGCATCAAGACTCTGGGCAATGGCTCTGCCCTATTCATTGATTCTGTCAAATTACATGAACTGAGCAAAAAAAATACTCTAGCAAGTAACACAGAGATGACAGACCTTGATTCAGAATCTGAAAGTCACATACACACACACACACACACACACACAAGAGGAAGAAAGCAGTAGGTGGATTAAACACCAAAGCCAAGAAGAGATCCCCCTCGCTGGAGGGGAGATAAGAAAGGCTTGATGGGGAAGGTGGCACTGGGGCTGAGCCTAAAAGACGAGTGGGATTTGTACACATGGAGATGGAAGAAAAGGCATGCCAGATAAAGGGCACAGCGGGACCAATGGCATGGAGGGAAGAAGGCTGAAGATCAGAGGGAGGAAAGGAGTCGTGGAAAATAAGCCTGAAAACTAGGTTAGGAACGGAGAGGACTGGCCCGGGAAGGTCACACTCATCGTTTTGGATTTATTTAGTGGGAAACAACAGTTTCTTAGCAGAGTTTTGCTCTAGAACAAAAGGTCAGCTAGCAAAGTAGGACATGTCAGAGAGGGCGATTCCTGAAATCTGTTCCCCCATGCATCCATTCAACAAAAATGTATGGTGCACCTGGTAAGCACAAAGCACTGTTTGGGTGCTTGCGGGATATGAGCGAGCAAAACTGGCAATGGATCCTGCCCTCGAGGAGTTTACATTCTACTGGAAGAAAACAGACAATAAACAACAACATAATAAGTAAGTAAATTAGAAAGTACATTAGATGGTGATAGAGTGATGGAGAAGAATGAGAAAAGTGGAGTGGAATCAAGAGGCAGGGGCGGGAAGGGCAAGGGTGTGGGATGAAATGCAGTGGTCAGGGGTGTCTCTAAGAGATGAGGCAGGTCAGGTGTGGTGGCTCAGGCCTGTAATCCCAATACTTTGGGAGGCCGAGGCAGGTGGATCACCTGCAATCAGGAGTTTGAGACCAACCTGGCCAATATGGTGAAACCCCATCTCTACTAAAAGTACAAAAATCAGACAGGCATGGTGGTGTGCACCTGTAATCCCAGCTACTCAGAAGGCTGAGGCAGGAGAACTGCTTGAACCCGGGAGGCGGAGGTTGCAGTGAGCTGCAATCATGCCACTGCTCTCTAGCCTGGGCAACAGAGTGAGATTCTGTCTAAATAAATAATAAAAAGTAAACATTTAAAAAATGAAGAAGGTGAGGGTGAGAGGCAAGTGGACACCTGGGGAAATGGCCAGGGCAAAGGCCTGAGGGCTGGGGCATGCCTGGCATGTTCTAGAAGGAGCAAAAGGAGATCCTTATACCTGGAGTGGGAGCAGGTGAGGAAAAGAGAAAGGGGTGGAGTCAGAGAAGGGTGAGGAGGCCCTGACTTTCACTCTGAGATAGCACGGGCAGTAGTGGGTTCTGAGCACAGGAATGATAGGAATCGGCCTAAATTTTAAAAAGCTCCCTCTCCTGTAGTGCATCTAGACAACAGAATATTATTCAGCATTAAAAAGAAATGAGCTATCTGGCCATGAAAAGACATGGAGGAACCTTAAATGCATGTCACTTAGTCAGCGAAGCCAATCTGGAAAGGTGACACCCCATGAGTCCAAGTATATGACAAAACTATGGAGATGGGGAAATGGCCAGTGGCAGCCAGGCATTAGGACGGAGGGAGGGAGGAACAGGTGGAGCTCAGAGGATTTTTAGGACAGTGAAACTTCTGTATGATACCGTAAGAGTGGACACACACGCCGTCACACATTTGTTCAAACCCACAGAATGTACACCAACAGTGAACCCTCATGCAGACTCTGGACTTTGGTTGATAACGATGTGTCAGTGCAGCTAATCTATATGAACAAATGTACCACTCTAGTGGGCGATGTTGATCATGGAGAGGCTATGCCAGGCGTATATGGGAAGTCTCTGTATCTTCCTCTCCATTGTGCTGTGAACCTAAAACTGCTGTTAAAAAAAAAAAAATTGTTTAAGGCTGCTTCTGGAGCATTAGCAGGGAGACCATTGAGAAGGCAACCGCAGCAGTTTACACGAGAGATGAGGGCAGCTCAGGCCAGGGTGCCCGTGGCAGGTGCGGGGAGAGCAGATGTGGAGGAACTGGGTTTATGTTGAAGGCACTGTCAGCAGGGCTCCTGATGAGCAGGATGTCGGGTGTGAGAGACAGGCAGGAGTCAAAGATGACTGCAAGGTCTCTTAGACAAATAAAGGTGACCGTTAATGAGGATCTTCACTAGGGCTGCAGCTCGCGGAAAGGAGGGGAGGGAACAAATACAAGCCATGCCGTGGCAACTCAGTGGAAAAGACTTGACAATTCATCTTAACACAGGAATGGCAGAGAAGAAGTTCAGATTCCCTGACTCATTCAATGCCTTGATGGAGACTCAACTCTGTACCTAGCTTGGGAAAGACCACGGGGACACAGTGGTGAGCATGACAGCATCGTCCCTGGCTTGATGGAACTTACCAAGCTAACCAACAATGTATTCCATTATTATTAATTAAAATTTAATTTTAATTAATTAATTAATTAATTGAATATTAAATATGCACATTAGGTATAGCATAAAATAGAAATATTTAATATGCAATATAAATTTAATAGAAATACAATTTAATTTTAATGATTTCATATTTAACTATCAATGCTATTATTTTATAGTAAGATTAATTCGTATTACAACACTCCATGCCGAACATTGTAGTAGACAATGAGGATTCCAGACAAATAAGAAAAAATGGAGGTGTGAAGTTGGGCGCGGTGGCTCACACCTGTAATCACAGCACTTTGGGAGCCTGAGGCAAGTGATCTCTTGAGGTCAGGAGTTCAAGACCAGCCTGGCTAATATGGTGAAACCCCATCTCTACTAAAAATACAAAAGTTAGCCAGGCATGGTGGCACAGGGCTGTAATTCCAGCTACTTGGGAGGCTGAGGCACAAGAATCGCTTCAACCTGGGAGGCAGAGGCTGCAATGAGCCGAGATTGAGATTACATCATTGTACACCAGTCTGGGTGACAGAGGGAGACTCTGTCTCAAAAAAAAAAAAAAGAAATGGTAGGTATGCACCATGATAATCCTATTCAGTGAGAGCTTTATCTATGGATAGAGGGTGATGGACCCATGAGGACAGAGCAGCCAGCCCACCTGAAGGGTGAGGACTGCATGGGCTTGAGAGATGAGTGGGCATGGCTGGGAAAGGGAGTGTGCAGTGGTGGAGACCAGCGAGGCAGGGTGTGAGGAGTGGGGGGGTGGGTGAGCCAGACTCACATGGCTCTAACTGGAGAAGACACTCGCCCACATTTTCAAGCCTTGACGATGGACTCTTGGTTCCACGGGGACAAGGACTCAGGCTGTTTTTTCCACCCTGTGTCCCTGGAACCCCACACAGCCCCTGTGTTCACTAGGCTCAACAAATTCACTTTGAATAAATAGGCAGAAGAGAGGGAGGGGAACCAAGGTGGAGGCAATAATGACTCCCTCTGGAAGATATGTTAAGTTGGAAAAGAATCTGGGAGCTTCCTGGCCACCATGGAAACGAGGCAGTCTGAGACTCAGCTCCAGCCCTTGCAGGGAGGATCCAGAGCCAAGTCGGTGCTGGAGTTCTGTAAGCGCCGTGACACTCTACAGGGTCCCCAGCAGGTGCGGGAATACCTGTATTTCCTGGATGCTTTCCTCCTCTCTGGCATCCACCTTCTTCTCAACCCCCTCACCACGGAGCAAGGCTTCCAGTGTGGTGCTTTCTGAGGTGAACCCATCCTTCTTCAGCGGCAGCTCCACTTCTGGAAAACAAAGACGGAAAGGCAGGTCAGGCCACTAGAAGCAGGCGGGGCAGGAGGGACAGTCCTGGAGGATACGCAGGGCCCAGGGCTCTTGGGAGGACTCGGGGCCTGTGCTCTCTCCTCCTGGAGGGAGAGGAACACTGGAGCTGCGTCCAGCTTTTCCATCTCCATTTCATAATCCAGAGACAGATTCCGACCCTGCCCACACCCCAGAGGAAGCTGGGCCAGAGCAGAAAGGGTATGAGCTCACACGCCATGCTTCTACCTCTCCAGCCATGACATCGGGCAACGCAGGTGTGGGGGAGCCCGGAGCGCTTACTGCATCCACAAAGTGAGAATAACAACGCCCAACCCCACAGGTGGTTTTGTAGGGAGAAATGTGTTCATTTGCATTAAAGTGTTTTGAAACTCAAACAATGCACAGTGCTGGCACCAACTATGCTCATTCCCTCCTACCCCAGCTCTGTCTGGCAACTCTGTGACCTCCCCGTGGCCATGCTGGCTGTCCGAATCTGCTTTCCTCCATGAAAAGTTAGTTCAGCCTCAGAGAGGCTCTTCTTATCAACCCATGGGGGAGTGAGGGCTTCAAAAGCCACAGGAAGAGAAGGAGCGAGGGCAAATGCCTAACAGGCCCCAGATTAGCAGAGTGGGCACTGCATGGCCCGCACACCACAACTTGTTTTTCTGAAGGTATCAGGAGTTGGATCAGCTACCTGGGGTTTGAGGTCACCAAGCCAGCCCTTCCCAGAAGAGAGACCAGAGAGAAGCTGAACCCCTTCCTCCAGGTGTCCCAAACTCCTGACCTGACAGAGGGTTGGTGTGTTTCTTAGCCTTTCTTTCTCTTTCTTTTCTTTCTTTTTCTTTTTTTTTTTTCTGACGGGGAGTCTTGCTCTGTCACCCGGGCTGGAGTGCAGTGGCACAATCTCAGCTCATAGCAACCTCCACCTCCCGGGTTCAAGTGATTCTACTGCCTCAGTCTCCCGAGTAGCTGAGACTACAGGTGCCCGCCACGATACCCAGCTAATTTTTGTATTTTTAGTAGAGATGGGGGTTTCACCATGTTGGTCAGGCTGGTTTTGAACTCCTGACCTCATTATTCTCTCGCCTCAGCCTCCCAAAGTGCTGGGATTATAGGTGTGAGTCGCTGAAACTGGGCTTCTTTCTTTTCTTTTCTTTCTTTCTTTCTTTCTTTCTTTCTTTCTTTCTTTCTTTCTTTCTTTCTTTCTTTGCTTTTAGAGATAGGGTCTTAACTTTGTCACCCAGGATGGAGTGCAGTGGCACTATCGTAGCTAACTGCAGCCTCAAACTTCTGGCCTCAAGCAATCCATCTGCCTCAGCCTCCCAAAGCACTGGGGTTACAGGCATGAGCCACCATACCCTGCTGTTTTAATTAAAGATGCAAACCTAAGGTACAGGTGATCATTCTGATTTACTAAAAAATACTTCTCTGATCCTGGACCTCATAGCCCCGACACTGCCGCAGTTGGATATGTGGACCCTCCCACTGTACCAGGTAAGCTGGGAGCCGGAACTATGATGCGGTGGTGCCCCAGAAAACAGGAGAGACAAACGGCCCGCTCTTATGGAGGTTTTGAGAGTTTAGCGCAGGGACTATTTACAGAGATGGGGGAGGAGATTAAGGTAGGGTAAAGCACCCCAGGGGGGTTTTGGGTGGGGATGAGGGTGGGAAGGGGTCATTACTGCTGCCGCTATTTTTGGAGGGACAGAGGTAGAGTGCTTGCAAATGTCTGTAGACAGCACCATTAGCAGAGCCCCAGGGCAGGAGCTGTGGCTTGCAGAGGCCAGAACCAAGGGAAGGGACAGCCAGCCACTCTCTCCAGCCATCCTCCATCAGTCTGTTGTGTTGTCTCCCACAGGCCAACCTTTACCAGAAGTGAAAGGGGAAGGGAGCCCCCTTCACGCAGCTCTGTCATTCCCTCCTACCCCAAGCTTAACCAGAAGTGAGATGGGAAGGGAGCCCCCTTCACGCAGCCTATCGAGGTCCGAGCAGGGTGAAGATAGACAAAGCATGGACCTGGAGGGGCAAATGGGAAGAGTGGCACCATCACGTCTGCTCCACTGGGCTCCATTCCGACTCCAACAGGACCCTACCTACACTTCCCATTTCCTCCACCAGAAACAGAGGGAGGCTAACCAATCCCCAAGGAAGGGGCACGTGGGCATGTATTAAAACCGAACAAATGCACACCCCCAGAAAAAGAAGGTGGGAAGGAGAAACAGCATCTAAAATCTCTTGAGAGACAAAGTCTTTAGGATTTTTCTTACCAAAAAAGAAGAGCAAAGGATCCACTTCCCATCAAGGAGTGCTACCACGAGTTCAGCCACCTCTGAACCCATCTATTTATCCAACAAATACTTACTGAGTACCTGCCTTGTGACCACAGCTGTGCTGGGACTAGGGACATGGGAGATGAACCAAATAAAGACAGGCCCTGCCTTTAGGAGGCTTAGTCCAGAGACAGACATTAAATGCTAAATACAAAATCAAGATGCAATTGTGAATTGTCTTAAGTGCTATGGAGGCAAACAACAGAATAAAACGTGAAAGAATAAAGGTAGGGTCTGCCTTAGATCAGGGAGTCAGGGAACACCTGTGTGATGAAGTTACATTTAAGGTGAGTGTCAGAAAAACAGCCGACTGTCTGCTTTAATGAGCTCAGGGCGTGCAGCTCCACAGCCGGCTCTGATGACATATTACTCTTTCTCCCAAGTCAGAAAAGTCTTTCAAATGCCTAATCAAGGTAATTAGCATGTGTTGCCTCCTGTCCTGTCCTCAGTCAAAAGAGAACAGCTGGTCACCATCCCTCAAACTTATAATAATCATATATACAGAGTTGAAGTTCATATTTTAGTATCCCCCTCAGCCTTCTCAGCATGAAATAAATCCTATTAGTGTTATTTCCCAGAATTGTACAGCATTTTAGAGCTGGAAAAGACCTTAAGGATCAGCTAATTCAATCATCTCACTTTGTAGATGAGTCACCCGAGACTCAGAGAAGTTAAGTAACCACGAAAAGCCACACAGCAGAATGACAATGCAGCCCAATGATCTTTCTGAGATGCCACTGGAATCGTGACAGGGTCCCCCACTCATTGTATTCTTACTAGTGGTTGACAGGCCCCGGCTGAGCCCTGACTGGGCTGTGGTACATTCTGTGTACAGGCAGAGGGCTTGGCAAGTAGCAAACATTCAAAACTTGGCAGCTGTTACTGCTATGCATCAACCCCACCACTCCCAAAAGCACAGTTATCAACCCCTTTTTACAGGTGAAGGCTGTGCAGCTTATAGAGGTTGAGAACTTGCCTGATACCACACAGCTGGTAAGCGGCGAAGTCCAGCCTTGAACTGTCTGCCTCCAAACCCATTCACCTAACTAGGCTGCACACACTACACCCTGTCTCTCTGTGGTCCTTCCTTGAGAAGTCTTTTTCCAAACCTTTATACTTTCATTGCATTTTGCGACTCCATCGTTTTCATATTTCAGGATAAAGGGCAGATCTTTAGCCAAGGATGAGGGTAGGTTCGTGTCATGGCACCGGGTCCTGCCCTACATGATCATCCCCATGCAATGCTGGCTCTTCCTCAACAGTATCTACCCACTATAGAATTTTCCATCAGTAGCAAACTTCCGCTCTCCCTTCTCCTGCTCCTCTTTCCTCCCCTGCTAAATATGCCTCCATCCTGCTTTCCCGTAATTGAATCTACTCTCTTGGTCCTCTTTAACCAAACTTTACCAGATAAGCAGTGTAAGAATCAAGAGGAAAAACGGAAGCAAATGGGAAAAGTGAAATGGAAAAAGGAAGGAGGAATCTCCAATAGCATTGAGAGTCTAATCCCTTAAACAGGAAAGTGAAGCACAGAAAGATATAGAGACTCTCCTGGGGTCACAGAGACATTCAGTGGCATCATGCTTCCCTAATTACCACAATATTTAATTGACTCCTATAGATTCTGCCTTCAGACAGCCATGGAGTCAAACCCCAGCCTTGCTTTATTAAGTCAGGTGACCATGGGCTAGCTACATAACCTAAGCCTCCATTTCCATATGTGCTAAATGGGCGTGGTCACAGTATCTATTTCACAAGGTTGCAGAAACAAACACTGTAATGCACTGTTTAAAGAAACTCTAAAAGGATACACACACACACAAAAAAAAACTAATGTGAGAAATAGAGTAGAAGATGAGGCTTATCCATTTTTGTTTTATACTATTCAAAACTTATATTCAAAATTAGATCATATATGTAAAGAATCTACAACATTGTAAGTATCCTACAAATGCTAAATGTTATTCCGAAATTTGAATACTTTTGATTTTAATGATACAGCTGTACTGTCCAACAGAAATATAACAGGGGACACTTACGTAATTTTTAACTTACTAGTATTCACATTTACAAGAAGGAAGAAAGTCAAGTGTAATTAATTTGAATAAGATATTTTATCTAATCTGGCCTTTCTAAAACATTACCATTTCAACATGAAATCAATATAAAATATGGATGCAAATTTTACATTCTTTTTTTTTTTTTTTTTTGCCAGAGTTTCGCTCTTGTTACCCAGGCTGGAGTGCAATGGCGCGATCTCAGCTCACTGCAACCTCCGCCTCCTGGGTTCAGGCAATTCTCCTGCCTCAGCCTCCTGAGTAGCTGGGATTACAGGCACGTGCCACCATGCCCAGCTAATTTTTTGTATTTTTAGTAGAGACAGGGTTTCACCATGTTGACCAGGATGGTCTCAATCTCTTGACCTCGTGATCCACCCGCCTCGGCCTCCCAAAGTGCTGGGATTACAGGCCTGAGCCACTGCACCCGGCCAATTTTACATTCTTTTATCTGCGTTATCTTCAAAGTTCTGGTGGGTATTTTCCACTTAGAGTGTATCTCAGTTCAGACTAGCCACATTTCAAGTGCTCTATAACTACACGTGGCTACTGGCTACCATACCCGACAGTGCAGGTTTGCAGCATTAAAAGTAA